CCACTCCTTGAGGTCGTTGTACCACTTTAAGATGGTTTCGTCATCTGCGGCAAGCGTCTCAGTACAGGTCCCAGTCGGTTGAGGTAGACTGCACAGTCGACAGCTAATTCCCCAGGTAGCCTGGCATATTTTTCCGCAACAAGAACAAGCTGTCGTAGAGTATCCTGTATTATCAACTGTTATGTCTTGTGAGAAAGTCATGTTGGAATAACAAGCTCACTTGGTATATGGGAAACCGTTCAGTTGAAGCGTAAATAGCTTCGTAGCAATTAAGTAGCTAATTGATCGCACAATCTCAACCGTCGGATGCAAAACTCTTCGAGAAAATTCCTCATACAGATTTGTCCCTGATTTCGACCATGGATTGCCCGCTCGGCATGTTGAGTAGAAGGGGTGATCGTACTGCTGTGAAAAGATGAGTTAAGATAGCAACGATGAAGGCCTAGCACTAATCGGCCCGTTGCATTGACCAAATCATGTGTGCTGCTCAAGGAGGAAGGCGTTATCTGCAGCGTGTCCATGACAGCACATTCTCGGAGGTACCCGTGCTGCCTCTTGTGCTCAGGTGCTATGAACTTCTAACGCCGACCTCCCGCGCATCCCGGGAGACAACGTCCAGTGTCAGTGGTTGTATTGTGGGCCCGGAAGTAGCGAAAGCACAACACGAGCGTCCGGAGGTGTCAATGAGACGTCAAATCTCTTGTTACGATTACATTAGGTATCAAAGCGCAACTGGACAAATGAGGCACCGATACCAGGTTTCCTCCGAGAACAAGAACCCCCCATAGGTCAAAGCCACCGGGTCCCTTGTCCAGCTCTAAGGCCGTAGGGGACACTCACCATCAATCGGCGAGACGCTGTGAGAACCACATATGCATCACGAGCGACTGTCCGATATTCATGACAGACTGTTGCGAAGAGAATCGCTCTCGGGGACAGGCGACAGGCACTATTCATTGCTTGCGCTGTTCACTTTTTGATGCCTTTAGGTGACTTGGTCTCAGAGAAAATGGGTGGATGGCAGGAATCACGCGTCTGGAGAGTATGCGAGCAAATACGTGCCAGACGATGGGCTGCGGCCTCCTGCGTGATCGATGTTTCTCACGTTTGTGGGCGCGCAGGAAAAACAGCATGAGGCGGAGTTTCCGATGCCAGCGAAGCCGATTGTGGGAAGAGATGCTCAGGGTTGTAAGGTCCGATAATTCCGATCTGGCTGGAAGAGCGCCCTGACTGAACAATAATTTACCCTGGCTCGGACGGTAGCCTGTGAACCGTTTAGTCCCGGAATCTGCACCCATACCACGTGAGGTTTCCCAATAGCGGGTCTGCCTTATCATTGCCCGGGTACATGCTGACTGACGCATGAGGCTGGGGACTTGCGTCGTCACATGTATTCTAGTTTCCCGCCAGGCAGTGTAGCGTGGCCGCAACAGGCGATAACCATAGGCATATTGATGGCCATACGGGAGAGATGAGCTGCGTTCGTCGGGGGACTTCTAGTCGTACAAATTGTAAATCGACATTTCGCCTTGCAAAGCGGAACTCTGAGAGTCTCAGAGGCTGCCCGTGGGTCATGCAAACATTCAACAATGCAAAGCGGGAGCATTCCCGATACATATGCGTACAATACACAATCATCGTCTGTCATGAGTCCATTACTCGTGCGTTCTGAGCGTTCAACAGTCCATCGCACATCGTACTTCGACGTCGCCCATGTCTTTTCGACGTTCGTCGTCAAGCGTTCTCCGCCTCATGTTCATAGCACTGTGATGAAGGCACCCGCGAGCACGCCAACTACGGTCATGCCCAGCGCGAACATCTGTGCCTTGCCCGGACCCGCGAACCGCACGAGCGCAGCGTTGTTACTACCGCTCGCCCCCGCGCCCGAGTTCGTGCCCGATCCAGACGCTGCGCTGCTCAACGAGGCCGTCGCGGAAAATCCGATGGGCTGTGTCTCCGTCGTGCTCTGCGCAGCAGCTGAGGTCGCCGAGGCGAGTCTACACAAAAAATAGGTCAGTGATTCACGCCAATTGCATTGCGAAGATCACGTGAGAGGAGGCACTCACGCAGAGCTCGCGGCGCCGCTGTTGAAGTCGGTGTTGATGAGCACGCGGTCGATGACGTGTAAGACGCCACTCGAGAGAAGTACGTCCGGTTGGATGATGAGCGCAGTCGTATTGCCCGACGTGACGTATTGTCCGGTGGCGTTGATCGAGAAAGTGAACGACTCGCCACCCGCCGAGGTGAAACTTTGTCCAACAAATTCAGGCGAGTACACAGTCGTGTCGTTAATCAGCTGCAAATTGGGTGTTAGGGACAACCTTCGAAATTAACAAAAAAAATCGAAGTAACGTACGTGGTTGTAGAAGAGGTTGCTGAGCGCGGTCGAGTTGCTCGCGAGCGCAGTGAGGTTGCTTTGAGCCGCAAGCACCGCCGAGTCGTTAGGCGCGAAGAATGTGAAGCCGTGCAGGCCGTTGTTGAGCAGATTGAACGCTGACACGCTGCTCGACGAGTTCGAAGAGCTGTTGAAGAACGGAACGTTCACCGCGCCAAGGAATGTCGGGAGCTGCGAGAGCGACGTGTTCGCATCCTCGGTTGGAACCGTGCCCTGCAGGGACTGGGGCACGGCCAGAACGTGATCGACGATATTGATCGTGATGTTGCCGAAAGTTGTAGTGTTCACCACTATCGAGTCATTCCTATGCACGCGGTCAGTGACGCTACCTACATGATGGAACAAGCAGCGCACTTCTGGTTCAAGACGTGGATGTGGCCATCAGCACGAGTTGCCCATGCAACGACTTGCGCCTTGCCGCCCTCGAGGTGGACAACCTCTGAGTCGTTGAGGAACGTACGTCCAAGCGTGACATTTGGGTACGTTGTCGCCGTGTTGCTGAAGTTGCCGTTAACGATGTGGTATGCGAGCACATCGCTGAGTTGTCGGCTATTGGAGGTAATATTCGAAGGAGCAGACGAGACTGCATCACGTATAGGATCAATATCGGAATAACTGGAGAAAGCGACTGGGCTCACAGGCTTCATTGGTGGGCGCAAAGATAACGAATGGCGAGCCACCAGAGAGCTCGGCGAGGATACCCTGGCCGACACCGCTCGAGTTAAATGTAGTCGTCGCGGAGATGAGCGAGGTGAGATTCGCGCTCTGGAGCGTCGTAAGGAGGCCCGTGAGGAATGACGCGTTCTGCGACTGCGCCAAGACAACGGGCGCGGCAGCGAGGAGTGCAGCAGAGAGGATTGCAGACTTCATTGTCTACAGGGTATAGTGCGTCAACAAGAGGTATGCTCGGGAAGAGAAGCTCGCGGTCAGAGTGCGGCGGGTAGAGGTTTATATACGTCGAGCATGATGCAATGAGAGGCCGGAGAGCTGGAGCGGGCTGTGATGAGCACAAATAGCTCCATGGGAGATCCGTGAAGAGAAGTTAAGTATGACGAGGGTGAGCCTGCTCTGGTAGCTATCGAAATGAGAAGACGGCTGGCATCATGATTCCATGGATCACGTCAGGCTGAGTGCGCACGCCTCCGACCCACCCCCTTGCGCCTTGACGTCAACACAGTTCGCATACTGCAGCTCATATGCTCCATCCAGCTTGGCCTCCTCCACGTTGTATTTTCTCCTTAGCAATAGCTTGACTGTCACCCCACACAAGGGATGTCAAAAGGGTACAAACTCCTGTTTAAAGCAGAGGGCTGAGCGAGAGAAGTCGCCAAGGAATGTCGCAATGTTGCCTCGAGGAGATCCACTCAGGTACAGGTTGCGGAGGACGATGTCAGACCGGTGCAGACAGGTGATCGAGCTTCGGATTGAACGATCATGCACGTGTCGCCGTCATCGTGCTGGACCAGGAAGGACGTGGAACTGTGGGTCCGATGAACGCACAATACGCAATATAGCCAGCACAAGGTTGGAACTTACATAGAGGAGACTCAGTGCGTTTGCGCACGCCTGCGTCGTCGGTTGGTAGGCGGCAGTCGAGTGGCGCCTGTGACGCCGGCCCGTGGGATGCAGGTGGTCTCTAAAGGACCTAAAAAATGAGCGTCTACGTGTAAACCTCGGAAGTCGAGCGGGGAGCGAATGTGCTCGATACAGGTGTACAAGAACTCCAAGACATATTTTTACAGTGTTCACGCCACTTATGTATGACACTGGATGATATTCCAACGAGTTATGGGAGGCGCAACATCGAAACTGGAAGGGAGTGCCTTCCACTTTGGGAAATACGCTACCCATAATGGGTAGGGTGTGAGTGACGTCATACCCCTGTGCCCGGGCGCATTATTGCGACAATATGTTGCATGCAGCATCTTAGTTCGAACTTCACTCAATTGAAGAACGCGTTCAAGCATACTGATATGCCGTGTAAAGCCGGAAAGTGATATACCACTGTATAAGACTGCTCTTCCTGGTCCTGCAAGGGAGCGATACGTGCTTTGGGCGCCCGATTGCGTCGTCGTTCGGTGTTTAGTTTCGCTCGGCCTTGCCTGCCGCGGGCTCTCAGAGCGGCCCAGATCCCCAGAAGAAGATTAACTGGTCCCGTCCAATGAATGACCGTGTCGCCAACGACCCTTGCCGACCGCAGGTCCCTGACGTCCTCTCGAGCGAGGGACTTGCGAGGCCGAGCTCTCACTGGAATGTTCGTCACCTGGAGCATTAAAGGGTTACTCAATTATGCAGAAACAAAATATTTGACTTATCGGGGAAGGAGGATGGCTCGCACGCTGCTCGGGACTCGCTGAAGAGGTTTGGGTGTAGTCAGTGGTCATTAGGATTCTCAACTGGGCCGGGTCGTCGACCTTCCTGCGGCGAATGCGGTAACCCTTTGAGCCAGAACGCACAGGTAAGGAATCGATGGAGTCTCATGACGACTCTTGCGACAAACGGTGGCAGCAATCATATTGCCATGCTCGAGGAAATAGTTGAAGCAATTGTCGGGTGATTATGGTACATCTCTCTATATTATTGGATACCGCATAAGTCACGGTATTCCCGTTTAGCTCAGTTGGTAGAGCGCGTCACTAGTATGGGACTATCCATTAGGAATGTCTCGTCATGACGAGGTCAGTCGTTCGAGTCGGCTAATGGGAACTCCATGAGGAATTGTGGGAAGTTTTTTTATCAAGTTCTGAAACGAAGTCCGACCCTCTTCATTCTGGTATGAGACTACCATGACCAGCTTCCTTTGCGTTTCATGTAGTCTTTTCTCTCATTCTACCAGGTGAACTCTTGTGAAGCTCGAGGCGTGCACACTCAGAAGTTCTCGATCATCAGTGAGCGCGGAACCCCCACGATATGCATGGTAGGAATAGGGCCCAGATATCTGCCCATACTATCAACAAACAACAGAAAGATTACACATAGCAGTCCGAACAAATTTTATGTGTAACGAACAGTACCAACCTTTCTCCGCGCGGCGCTCCTACGCACACATTCGAGCGAACCCAATAGTCGTCCCAATTCGGGTTGTCAACCATGTACCCCGACTCGCGCCTGTGGCGCTCCTCGTGCTGGTCCAGCTCGGCCTGGTGGAGCGTAATAAAGTCGCAGTAGACAAACCCGTGCCGGCTTTGATACTCCATCTTGCAGTACAGGCGACCCGGCACCCGGCTGAGGGCGAACCAGCAGGCGAAAGTAGGCGGGGAGAATAGGAGAACGCGTGAGTATGAAAAGGAGAGATGGGAAGGGGGGAATCACTGCTGCTTGCCCTCGTGGAACATGATGTGCTCGTCGTAATCAGCCACGAAGCGGCAGCCCGCATACGGGCACCGTTCAAGTTGCATCTGTACCCGTATATCCTGTAAGATATGCCACAGTTCGTGTTAAGCCACAGAGCATACATCAACCGAAGTTCCTTGTTGAGCTCTGGAAGACATTTTGTGTTGAGGGTAGCTGCAAGTCACGACTGGTGTCGGAGATGTCTAGCGAGAGGGGCGAAAACTGGTCCAAGTGGGCGGCATTGTGCGCTATCTTATACACTGGCAGGGACCGTCGCGTGCCACGTTGCCGTCCATGATGTATAGGGACCCAAGTGACCGTGACTTAAGATTCTTTACTTGCCGCCGGCCAATTGCGGGGGTACTTGAGCCATAAATGACAGACGGGAAGCAGACATGACAGCGCGAATCTGGTCCGTAGTGAGAGCGCGGACCAGTCAATGAGTGTTTGAGTGGTAAGGCGGGTACAATGGCGGGCCAATGCGGTCGCGAGCCTGGAAAATTAAGAGAGCCGTAGCGTATCGATTGAGCATGCAGAGTCCAGCAGATACTGTAAGAAACATTTCTGGTAATTAGCTCGATCTCAGAGAAGCCAAGCATGTCGAGTATTGGACCCAAAGAGAATGAGCCGCGATGAGGGACAGAGTAGACGCTCGCCAACGGTCATCCTGGCCAATAGCAACCGACGAAAGACGCGGACCCTGTTGCAAGAGCAAGCAAATCTCCTGCAATTCGCCGTATAGAGTGGGGTGGAACAGTTCACTCGCCTACTGAGCAACACGTCCGCAACAGATCAGCATCTCCTCTCATCCCCTTCCTCGCTTCCACCATCCTACGCCGCCAGCGCCCGGACCTTCTGCCGGACCTCTCTCGTCCTCTCCGACCCACGTCCCGTCGTCTTCCCGAACACAACTACTGTACCCTCGCCGCCCGCGCGTCCTGTGCGTCCTGCGCGGTGCAGGAAGTCGACCATGTTCCGCGGCTGGTCCATGATAAACACGTGCTTGATGTCCGGCGAGAAATCCAGCCCGCGCGATAGCAGCGACGTTGTGATCAGTACATGCGGCGGCTCCTTCTGCACGCCCGTCTCTCCCGACGCATCTGCGGGGATTGTATCTACGATCAGGTCTTCATCTACCTCTGGCATCTCGTCGTCGACCGCGCTTTGTGCCTCCGTGTCTTCGCCGTCCTCCGGCTTAGCATTGTCGCCTGCCTGCACGCGGAGGAAGCCCGCGAGATGCGTGTTCGAGCCACGCTTACGCGTGTCGCCCTTGCTGACGAGCGCGACGTTCGGGATGCCCTTTTCTGTGAGGAACTCACCGAGGTCGAGCACCTTGCTGCTCTTGTTGCAGAAAATGAGCACCTTCGAGCGCTTCCCATCTCTCTGAGCGACGTCAGTGTACCAGAGCGCACGCAGCCGCTGCTCGACGTCCGCGTTGCGGTTCCCGCCAGTCCATGTCGCGTACTCCGTCTTTATTCCCGCAGGCAGGTGGTGCAAGTTCGGGGACGCGAGCCGCGTCATCGATGGGTGAAACGCGTCGAGGTACGCCGCGAGCGAGGAGGGGATCGTAGCTGTGGTCAGGAGAAGGTTGAACGGATAGTCCACCTGGGTTTGTGTCTGCGCCTCGGCCTGCGCGGTGAGGTCGAGCTGGGGCTCGAACGGCACGGGCCGACCGCGCGCTGCGCTAATCTCAGCAAGCAGGAGACGAGTGTACGCCTGGAAGTCAGGATCTAACACACAGGTCAATACACCGTCGTGTGATATACAAAGGCGGCTCACCTAAGAGAACGTCTGCCTCGTCAATGACAACCCACTCGATCTCCTGCAGACCGATCTCAGGTCTGCCCGCCTTGAATAGCGGCTGGAACGCGGCGCCGTCCCGCCGTCTTTGTACAGCCGAGCCAGTTGCATCAGAGCTGCGGTCCCAGCCTCTTCCCTTCACCATCTCCAGAATCTTGGACGGGGTACCGACGAGGACATCCATCGGGCGCACGTCGCCTGACGTGCGAGTAACCTCCACCTCGTTGTCACCCTCGGTGCCCTCGGCTTCCCCGAACGCGCGTGCCATCCTCGATGCGGTGACTCCCCATTTCGCGTTTGCGCGCGACGCGCCCACAACGCGCAACTTGATGCGGTGGATCAACGCCTTTGCGAAGCTGGTCAGCTGCCGTGAGAGCTCGTGCGTCGGCGCCAAGATGAGAGCGCGCGGGTTCGTCGGGTTGCGTCGGGGCGCATTTTCGCCGCCGAGCTCCGCTGCCTTGAGGTCTTGCAGCACGGGCAGCATGTACGCAATGGACTTGCCCGAGCCAGTTTCGGAGGCAAGCAAGAATTGGACGTAGCTCTTCTCCTCGTTCGAATCAGAAGTCTGCGGGAGATTTTGGATGATGTGTTTTAGGGACAGAGCCTGAATAGGACTTGGCTTCGCGTGGGGCCCCAGAATATCTTGTACAGATGTCAACAGGTCGGCCATCAAGGGCGGGCTTGTAAATTCGGAGGGCAGAGAACGCGTCGAGACAGACTTTGGCGAGATGTCGAGCTCTTCGCTCAGGGGGTTCTCTACTTGCGAAGGCCGAAAGGAGCTCCTGGAGGGCGGGCTCGGCGCGTCGTGTCGTACACTTGCGGAGTGACTTGCGTCGTGGGCTCGAAAGGAATTCTCGGAGGACCGAAAGGAATTCTCTGAGGACCGAAAGGAATTCTCTGAGGACCGAAAGGAATTCCCGGAGGACCGAAAGGACTCCCCGGGGGAAGAACTCGGCGCATCATGTCGTGCATTTGAGGAGCGGGTTACATCGCGGGATCGAAATGAATTCCCGGAGGAAAAACTTGGCGCATCATGTCGTGCATTCGAGGAGCGGTTTGCGTCGCGGAGTCGCAAGCCCGGCGAGTCGCGGGTCCGACTGCCCGAACGACTACCTCTGTCTTGAAAGTTCTGGGCTTCCTGGCTTCGACCTCTGCCCTGAGCTCCAAGTGTGCGGTTCTTCCTCTCCTCCATCAATTTCTGTACGACCCTCTGGTCTTCTATCCGCTTTTGCTCACTCCGTTTCAGGTGTCGCTCCACCATGTATTCCCGCGCGTTCCTTTTGTCGACGGCGTCGGGATGCGGCGCCGGTTCACGTTCCGGTAGAGCAACAACCACCTTGGGTTTGAATTTTGGCCTCTTATAGCCCTTCTGTGCGTCTAGGCCGCCGGTGTTATGTGGCAAACCCAGATCCCTGACGAGGCGGGTAGATGACGGGCCCTGTTGTGCAGTGGTCCTGCGAGCCTTTGCAGCCTCTCTCTGCTTCTTGTAACCCTCCGCCCGCAACTTTTTAGGGCGTGGTCCGCCGCCGAGGCACGGTGCAGACGTGTGCAGACATGACAGTACGAGCTCCGGAGGTAGCTGGGCTGCAGAGCGTGTAGCAATCCGGGACAATGCGAGCAGAGACATCCCGAGACGACCAGTGGGGTAAAATCAAGAACAGACTCTGAATTTGAGCAGTTTTTGCGCTATGAACGCATCCTCCAGGTGGGTTCAGACAATGGCGAAGACGAGGTCAATGACACGAAGGAAGACTTTCCAAACGCATAACTTTTCTGAGCGGCTTATGTAAGCAATAGACGCCCGCTTGATCCTCGAACCTCGCTCACTTGCAGGGACTCCGCAGGGACAATTCTACTCAGCCATCGCGACAGCTTCGTTGCTTAGGTTTTAATTAATCATGCAGAGACTATCCTCGAAGCAATTTTACGGGCACGGAGGTGACTGTCCAGCGTACTTGCATGTAGGTAAAACCCTTCCCCACATAGGACACTGGATGTGAGCAGAGTGAGCAGGAGACAGTATGCAAGATATCGACTTTATATAGCTCAGTGTGTTCCAGACAGGCCCAAGGCAAAGAGATTCCTCAAGTCTACGGAGGCACAAGCGGTATATGAGATATTGTAATCGATCAAAATCTTTGCGGCATTGTGCATCCATGCCCAGGGATTCTGCGGGTCATCCTGACCTCGTATAACACTGGGGAGACCATTTTGTACGAGCTGATTGTATTCGGGAAGTATGTGAAAAACTCTCATGATGTGCCGGAGCGCCCTGGCGCTAGCTATGGTCCGATTTGTCTCGTGTGTAGCTGCCAACGATGCACAGCAACGACGTATAGTCAGCGCCGTGGTAAGGCGTGGCACTTGTCTGTCCGAGACTCCTCACATCTACTCTCGTCTACAATCCTTTACAATTCCAGCTCTACACGTGCTAATGAGTCTAGAGGTCCTCTCTCCGTGAGTCCAATACGATTATCCATGAGCGAAACTGAGGAAACTGAGAATGCATCGTTATCCTAGTACACGGAATCCTCGTAGAGACGCGTCAACTGGAATAACAGAATGCGAAATCC